GTGTGTGTGTGTGTGTGCGCGCATATATATATGCATATATATATGTAGGGTGCAAAAAATTAATTGATATGACTTCATACAAAATATTTCGGATTCGCACAATAAACGCACCGTCTGATCGATTCTGTGATTCAGTTATGAAGATATACTAAAGTCTAGACAACTTATATTTTTTTAAATACGTCTTCCTCCATTTAGTCAGTAATTAACATTTTGCAATAACATTCTATAACACATTCATTAATAGTCAATCTAAAATAAAAGTTTATAATAATAATAATACTATAATGATAAATCTAAAATAACGTTTTATAATAATCATTCTGTAATAATCATTTTCGAATAACATTTTATTGTATAGAGAACCATTTAAAGCTCTAACGAAAAAGAAACTTATTTAAATCTTTATTTCAGAAATATCTCAGTAAGATTTTAATTGTATGAAAATCAGTAATATAAAAATCTTACCTTACTCTTGGCAAGTGTTATCCTAGTTGATCTTTTCACGGTTTTTTCGAAAGCGAGATGTGTCGCGAGATCTAAAAATACGCTCTAACCGAGTGGTGAATGAATTGTGTAGATGAAAGAGCCACCTTTTATCTACCATGACAACATCGTTGCTTTTTTTTCTCCCAACATTTAAATACATTGGCTGGTAATTACAGGACCGCACTAGCATAACAAACAAATATTATTTCCGGCAGAGCACATTTTTGAACTCGGTTGCTTATTTCATCTGTTGCACGCTAATGATGATTTCAGTAGAGTTACTAAAGTAACTTTATTCTCTCTAATGACATTTGTAATTGGCTGTTTGCATATATATATATATACATATATATATGTGTGTGTGTGTGTGTTATTTCAGACTCACCCTTCATTTCAGTTTTTCACTTTTCTTTCAACTTGTGTGTTAATTCCAGCATTTATATTTATTTCGACTTTCTTTCCTTACTTTCTTTGTTCGGGAAACAAATTTATATATATATATATATATATATATATATATATATATATATGTGTGTGTGTGTGTGTGTGTGTGTGTGTGTGTTCTCAGCCTTTTTTTTACTTTGTAACAAGTTGCTTTTTGAAACTACATGCTTTAGAATTGCAAAAGATTTCGGCTGATGCTATTTTAAGGCTGACTGAAGGAAATACATCACTATTCCACCGCTAGATTCGAGCTATTAGAATGTAAAATATATAAATTATTCATTTATAGTAAGTTCAGTTTCAGTTTAGCAAATCAAGGTAATTTTGTAAGAAAATATTTTCCTCTGTAACTTGATACGCCTGGGCTAAATATGACTTTCGATTATTGTGGAAATTTTCATTTTTCTTCCATTATGCTTCAAAGTGTAATCAAGTGAATCGTTTCTAAAATGGGACTTCGGTTTCCAATAGAAAACTAAATCATTGTTTTGTGTATGTCCTTACGCCAATATGTCTCTATTGCTTGTCATTTCATAGTTTTAGTACATGTTAGGATACAGCTTCTTTGATACTAACAAACGAAAACGATCGTAGAGTTTTGTTTTTAAAGCGTCTTTAGTGCTTCCGAATAGTGTACTCTGCTCCATTTTTCGTGTGAATTGATACTTTTCTGCATCAAGTACCTTTTTTTCATTGAACAACCAAAATACTCGAAAATCAAAATAAATAAAATTCTGATTTTTCAGTATCAATGAATAAGAACACAATCTTCGCAAAAGTTTCTCTTCTGTTCAGTATTATAACAAAAATCATTATCGAATGCAAACAGTCAAATGGCTGAAGATCAGTCATGAGGCAGCTGTAAATTGGAAAATCTAGTGCTATGAAGTGCCATTGGAGGAATCGGAGATACCAAAAATGTATTTTATATTGATGAAAGTAATTTTCTGGAAACTGTTCTCGCCAAAGTTAAATAAATTCATCGCTACTACTTGCTTCCCAGCTTGTTAGAAATCCTCCTCTGTAGTTCCTGTCTTTAAGAACTGTAGGGAACCTTCTTACTTCCGAATTATCACCCTCTTACCACTTTCTGGTGAAGTGTTCTTCTTTTATGTGCCGGGTCCCTTCAGGATGTAGGCGATCAAGGCTCTCCATTTCCCCCTATTCCTTGTAGTTCTCAATATGTTTTGTCCTTTTGCTACTTCTTCCAGACCCTGTTCTGTCATCCACTTGCTTAAGCCCTCTAAGTATGTCACGCATTGCTTTCCCTTGTTTCTCTTTCACTCTATCCGCCCTGTGAGTATCAGATTCTAAATACCTTCCTTTCTCATTACGTGTCCCAGACATTTCAGCTGCTTCTTCCTGATGTTAAGTATAAGCTTTCTCCTTGTTTGCATCCACTCCAAAACATCATCGTTTCTCACATGTTTGGTCAATTGTATTCTTAGCAACATTCTGTAGAACCATACCAATGGAAAAAAAATCTATACGAAATGAAAATCATATTCATATCAAACTACTGAATTTAATACGTAACTTTTCGTAAAAAATATGCACATAACCTTTTCGTATTTGGTGCTTTATTTTAGTACTTAATAGTTTGAAAATGGAGTCTAATTTCAAAAATGCAAAAGACCTTTCTCGAATTATGAATAAAAACTACGAAAAAACAATTTCAATGTTGAATCATTGTTCTTTTCCATGAAATTCTATCAGTCCTGATGATGGCAGTCATTACGGATTTCAGATTTTAATTTGATAAAAAAAATCTACCTGGGAATATTTCTAAAAACTTCTGCATTTCTCTAAAATGAAAGAGTTCAAACATAATTAATGTCTTCAGTTATAACTTAACTTAATAATTTAATACCTTAATAACGTAATAACTTAAAAACTTAGCTTCATAATTTAATGCCTTCAGTACTTCTGCGATTATCCGTACTTCGAAATGTAGAGAAAAATTGAAATCCTACGAACATTTATAATAATTCTCACTAAATCTGATTCACGACATATTTATTTATTGCAATTTGCTCATTCACCACAAAAAAACTCATCCTTCACCATTCAATACTGCATGTACCGCAATACTACAAATTCACAGGGAACAAAAATGAAATAAAATTTCAATATGTACACTTAAAATTTAATTATAAGTGTAGCTTATTAATGATGCCATGTACTTAACTGTTTTCGGGAGACTATTAATATTTTATATGTATTTTTAAAATATCTCCTGTGAATTTATTGAATGTTGGTTAATTCTTTTATACGATGTTCGCGAGGGTCTAAAATTTTCATTCTGCCTAAATATTAAATAGAAGTTAAAAAACAAAACAGACATCTATAGAGACGCCCACGCTCTCACTCGTGATCTCAATCATAGGTCTGAAGTTTAGTTTGCTTGTTAAGTTTTCACTAGTTTTCATTTAAATTTTGGCAAATATATTTAAGAATATATGAGAAAAAAGTGACCTTGCGGTTAATAAACGATATATACTGGACTTTCCCGCCGTTTTCGACGTATGAGGATCAAGTAGCTCAGTTCTCAGTACTGACAGCCAGACTACCCACACATACCATTTGATTATAGGCTTCTTCAGAACCAAGCACACTTTTTGGAAGAGCAGAATACAGAGAACTGGTGCACAGTATGTCACAAGGTCCCCAAACAACACTAAGCATATTTTGTATACAGAATTGTCCTTCTAGACGGTTCGCCACTAAAAGCTATTACCCATAGCCTTTCCCAAGAATATTAGCACTAAAGGTGAATGCAATGAACTCAACTGGAATTCGAACTCGGCTCTCTGAGACACTATCCATTACTGCACCGTGGTTCCATATATCTGTATAATAAATGAGAAAATGTCTGTGTCATACTTTTCACTTAAAGCGACACAGCTCTCTAGCTTTCAATAGCTTTATCTTCTTCTATATAATAAATGATAAAATGTCTGTGTCACACTTTTTCAATTAAAAGGACATAACTTTCTAACTTAAATATCTCATCTTCTTTTATATAAATAAATGCGAATGTCAGTATGTCAGTGTGTCACACTTTTCAAATTTACTCCTAGAGGTTGTAGCCCAACATATCACATCATTTTGGAATCAGGCCGACTTCATGGACGAACTGAGAACATGATCCGGACCCGCAATCCTGAAATTTTGAATTCCCAAGTTTTCATTATTGCAATTGTTTTCGGTGATCTTTTAAGTGATATTTTGCGACGAATTTTTTTTGTACGATAACGATTCTTGTAACTTGGAAATAAATTTGAGAATAATCGAAATTAATTGCGAAATCCAACGAAAGTCCCCCATGAAATAAAAGTAATTGTTTGTACAGAAAATAAGGACCTACGTACATCAAATTGTCTTTAAATTAAAATGGTGGCAGAAGAATTATCGTTGAACTTTTAAAAGGTAAGCTTAAATATTTATGCAATACTGAAATGCAGCGATCAATATTGAATTTTTCTGTAGTTTATTGCAGCATTATGCCTCACAAAAAGAAATCTTCGCCAATAGAAGACCAAATTACAATCAAAAGAGCCAAGGCTACAGCGAGAAATTCATGTGCAAATGAAAACCCAGGTCAAGTAAGAGCCAGGAGAGTTTCCAATGCGGAGAATATGCAAAGACTTAAAAAAGCCGAAGGCCCAATCAAGAGCCCTCCGCAGGAGCTAGTTACTTGTTAAGTTTTCACTAGTTTTTATTTAAATTTAGTAGATATATTCAAGAATATACGAGAAAAAAAAAAGACCTTACGGTCAATACATTGATGTATTTACTGAAATAGATAAAATTATATATATATATATATATATATATATATATATATATATATATATATAACTCTCCCGTCGTTTTCGACGTATGAGGATCAAGTATCTCAGTTCTTAGTACCGACAGCCAGACTACCCGCACATATGATATCATATATCTAGTATATATATATATATATATATATATATATATATATATATATATATATGTTTGTGTGTGTGTGGAGAGAGAGATAGAGAGAAAGAGAAAGAGACAGACAGGATACACAGACAGACAGAGAATAGTAAAAGACAGAAAGTGCGTGAGATAGATAGATAGATAGATAGATAGATAGATAGATATGATATGATATGATATGATATGATATAAATACTACTGTTCGTCCAGCACCTGTGTAACGAGATGTGAATATGAAGAGGTTAACAAAATCAATGCCACTTTATCTAATTAAAAACGAAGCTATTTTACTTGGGTTTCCCGTTTCTCTCTTTTTCTACTAACTTATTTATTGAAGTCATACTAGAGGGGAGGTAATCCAAACCCGTTTAAAAAATCATCTAAATTACAACTAGGTTAATGTATTAAAATATTTGATAAGCAAGTAGGTAGGATTATCATTAATCCGACCTACTTGCTTATCAAATATTTTCACCAGTATTAATTTAGAGGGGTCAGTTACGAAAGAATTTAAAATATCTTATTCGTCTAGTACTAGATTGGGGATCAAATTCTATCCTTATCTAAAAATGTAAACTTTGATAGTTTGCTGTTATCTTAAATGTTGTATCGTTTGATCTGTTTCTCTTTCTATCTGTAGCTAATAGAACAGAGGATCAAAGATCCGAAACGTTGATATTCATTCTTTAATTATGAGGAAATAGACTCATATGCATAAATTAACCAAGAATTTTGAGTACTCGAATTCATTGGCTTTAATTCTTTATATTGAATCTGATTTTGACCTGTAGCTTCTATAACTTCAAACATATATAGGTATTTTTCAGCGGGTCAACGTTGCTATCGAATGTGAATGAAGGTCGAGGTTTAGAGTGGGTTTGACAGAAATACTGTGGAAAAATTGTCTAAGCGCTGTCGATACTTCCCCTTTTGGGGACGCTTTAGACGACAGGCAATAAACCCAGCACCCTCTCGAAGGAAAGATACTGACTGGGGGAACTTTAAGCATTAATGTATTTTATTTCAGATTTATTTATTTTGTACAAAAATGTTTGTAAAGATAAAGCGATTACGCAGACGCACACGCACACACATAAAGCTTACAACCATATCACGTTGAAACACCGGTTCTAGTACGATCGTAAAATCGAACCTAGTCAGTATCTAGATAGGTAACCTCTTGGTAATGCCCAGTTGCTGTAAGTTTGGATGTTCAGTTAATGTAACGGATAACAGCTAGGACTTGGAAATTGAAGAACTAAATTCCAATTTCAGTCAGGTTCATTATATTCACTTACACGCAAATATCCTTGGGAAAGGCATGAATCCATCTATTCTTTTCCCCAGCTATGGATTAATTAGTATGACTTATATCAGAAAATCATTATTATCTCCCCAAAATTCTTACAATCTAAAAATATTTCCTGGCTCTAAATAATCAATAAAAGGTTGATAAGATGTACATAAACGAATCAATCAATCACACAAACACATACACGCGAATGATTGTTGTCATGCAGAATTGGTAATTTTTTCCCAATTAGACAATATTGTATTTTCTACTATTGAAAAACAAACGGAACGATGCGTCATCAATTTTTGTTTTAATAGACACGAAAATATTTTCCAGATCTTCTAAACTATAGAATAATTTCCATGCAGATTGATGTTAAATTTGTGTGTCTGGCTTAGTGGTTATCAGCATGAAAATTGAGATTAACGTGCCGAGTACAATTTCTAGGCCGTTGGATTCGCTTTCACAAAAATACACTTGGAAATGTATGAATCACTTCTTTCCTTACTCCCTTAATACGAAACCAGTTCAGGATAAAGACTAACTGCTACAGAAACCAGAACAGCAACGCGTAGGGTGGTGAGACTGTATCCCTGTACGCCAAAGGAGAAAAATCAAGAATGGCATTCTTTTTCTATGTGTCGTCTCCCTTCGTTGGTGATTACGATTTTCATATCCTTTGTAGCTCTTAATAACACTTGTCTTTTTGTTATCTCTCCCAAACCCCGATTCATTCACTCAAGACCGGCGGGTAGGTTATGTGTTGTTTTCCTCTGTCTCTTTTGATCTCAATCTGTCCTGTGAGTATCAAATTTGCCACACCTTCGTTCCTCATGATGTGCTCTAGAAATTTATTGTCCTGATGTTAAGTGTAAATGTTAGGTCCCTAGTATTCTCAGCATCCTTCTGTAAAACCACGTTGCAGTTGCTTCAAGTTTCTTCTTCATTTGTGAAGAGATTGTCCAACATTCACTGCCATACATCAGGAATGATATTAGATAACAATTCAGTACTCTTTCTTTCTAACGATGTTTTCTCGTTTTCCTTTATTTAGCCTTGGGAAAACATCTTTCACTATCCTAATGCACCTTCAGATTTCAGTGTCACATTTTTCGTTCTCTGTTAAAACGTTTCCCAGTTATTTAAATTGTAAATTTGATTTTGGTATCTCCAATTTGTAATTTGCATATTGGTCTCTTTCCTGTCTGCTAACAATCATGCATTCAGTCTTGTAAGTGATGTTTAGTCCTTTCTTCTCGCTTTCCTTCACTACCTTCTCAGGAGTTATTGTAATGTCTTTTCTGTGTCTTCTATCAACACTGTGTCCTCTGCATATCTTATGTTGTTAAGATTGTGACCTCCAAGCATGAATCCTGGTAGGACATGTAATTTTCTCAGAATTGCTACACGGTATAGTTTGGATAGGTCAAGTGAGAAGACATTTTTGTCTTACACACCCCCTCTTTCTATTTTTACATATTTACTGAACTCATTTTCTGTCCGTATGCAGGCAGTTTACTACTCGTATAAGTTCTGGAAATCAAATGTTTGCCAAATGCATTTGTATAATCTGTAAAACACATGTACACATCCATCTGTATTTTTATTGCTCTTTCTGATATTATATCTCAATCTTTGTTTCAGTGTCTTTAGCGAAACAGCACTGTTCTTGTCTTATTTCATGACTGATTCTACTGTGCGCTCTATTTAATTGGAATTCGGATGGTAAGTTTTGTTATATACCTTATTAGGTTGATTGTCCGATAGAGTTACTATTCGTTTGTACCTGGCTCCTTCGGCAGTCCTATGAAAATTGCTCTATTTAGACCTTCCGGTTTATCATCACTGTTGTATATTTAATTTATTATGTCTGTAATTATGTCAATGCTGTAATCATCTAAGGCTGCCAGTACCACTTACAATTCCATCTGGCTTTGCTGCTTTGTTTCTGTTCTATTTTGCTAGCGCTGAGTCTACTTAACACTTTATTTACTTGATATTGTTAGCTCAACGTTATTTATGAAATAAAACCCATTGTAAAATTATACATAATAATAATAATAATAATAATAATAATAATGATGATGTTGATTATATCTTCTCATAACCTTTATAGCAGAAAGCTATTGATAACAGAAGGCACTTTCCAAAAATTAAACAAAATATTAAGAAACAGCAAAGGTTTTTTTTTTTCTAAAAAGAAAAGAGTCTACTGACAAGTAATATCAATTCTTCTGTATTGGCAGTGAATGCCGGACAATTTTTTCACATATGAGGAGGAGACCTTGAGGCAACAGAGATGTCATTCTGCAGAAAAAACAAAGCTGATAATTCTATGGCAAAAAGATATGAACAACGAGGAAGATTTGAGGAAAATTGAAACGAAAAGGACATTTATACTTAGAATCAAAAAAGAAACTATTTTCTGGAACATATAATGAGGAAAGAGGGCTTGAAAGTTTTGACCCTCACCGGACGTGTTGAAGGCAAGAGGGATAAAGGGAAACGCGAGTAAACTATCTAACGGGCATGTGTAAATGGATGGTAGGGATAGTAAAAAGACAAACATTACTAAAACCTACAAAGGATAGGAAATTGTGAAAAGCTTACGTCTCGAAAGTACACGGTACCGAAAAGATGATTTAGTTTGAATTCTTTTTATTCTTTTGATTGAAAACGAGTAATCATTTTCTTTCTTTCCTGCTTTCACTGATATTTGAAATTATTATCAAATTTGACTTCTTTGAGAAAGCTGTTAGCTCTTTACAATTCTATACTGCTCTGTTTCTGTTTTTTGTTTATCTATTTTCAATTGCTGCTAAATCTCTAGACACAGGAAATTATAGGCTAATTTCTGAAACCATGAACATTTCACTCTTCACTGAATGTAAAATGAATATAAACAAATATGTATTTTGTTCTGTTTATACCCCCTCAACTGACTGGCACTTCCATGATAAAATTGTCAGAAAAGGAAAAGACATGCAGCCCGCCCCTGTTTCGAGGCCAGTGCCTCCCACGCTTTCTAGTCCTGCGGACTGGTGCCCACTGATAGTCATGTTTTTGAATGAGTATAGGAAAACAATTTTTAAGTTGTTCAGACCTTGGAAACTAACGAGAGAAAGATACTTGTGACAATAGGTTTGGGGAGTGCTCTATCATCTGCAATATTATAACAATTTCATCGCTGTATTTTCTCTATCTCTCTTCCTCCTCTCTTTCAAACCCTTTTTCTCTTTTTCCTTTTCTCTCTTCTCCCCCTCTCTCTCTCTGTATGTGTGTACGCATATGGATCCTATTTTATCAGATATCATTAGTTTTTGTTTCATTCAAAAAGGTCACTTTCGATTGTGTTATGACAGATGTCATAGCAAAAAAAGACATTTGAGAATAATCAACGTTATACGACAGTAGAAAAAAGAGGAGGGGAAGGAGAGAAGGAGGACGAGAGCTGTAGAGAGACAGTGTGAGTGAGCGAAAATATTCTTATAAAGCGTTGAAAATTATTGCCATCATCTTCGTTATGTTAGTCACTTTGGTGTGTAGCTTTCCCTGGACTACTCTCGTGTGAATTCTCTATTTTACAAAAATTTTTCTTTTTAAAAATTGTCATGTGAATATTTTACAACATTCAGGGCCCTCTAGGCTTATGAAATTATGCCCCCCCCCCGCCGCGTACCCGTCTTGAATATTTTTTACTCGTGATATATTTTAGAGACATAGTAAACTTATTGCAAATTCTTTAAATAGAATAATAGAATAGAATAACTATATTATATTTATCAATAAAAATATTCTTTAAAAAATATTCCTATTTTACTATTTATTGAAAACCAAATTAGTACATATTTCAACATAATTATAGTAAAATCATTTTTATGAAACTATTTAGGATTCATAATATCATGAAAATTAAAATCACTACTTTATAAAAATTTATAAGATTTAAACATTCTGAACTAAAATCAAACGTTATCGACTTAAAACACAATGACACAAATTAAAACATTTTTTCTGTGTTTTGCTTCCTGCAAAGTCAAATAAATATGAGTTTGTCATATTCATTTCATTTTAGTTTATGAAACCATTTGCAAGATATAACATCTAGAAAATTAAAATTGCATTATAAAAGCTTGAGAATCCCTAGGCTGCAGCCTAAAGTATTATCCAGCGCTGACAACATGAAATAGAAAAAGGTTGCTTCAAATAAAATGAATCACCATTGACCCTACCTAAGACTAATCTTAATCTAAAGTAAGTTATTCTGTGCTGTGTATAACGTGATTGGTAGTCATCTACAATGGATACATTCTGGAGAATAAAGCGACTTATCCAAACAAGCATTGTTTCTAATTAGATCAAATGAAAAGGCTGCGATATTATTTTGTTTTAAATGGATAATTCCAGGTTGCAGGTATTGTTTAATGAAGAGACAAAATTTGTTGCGACTTGGGCGAAAAGATTTTACTCACAGATACCTGTTATCTCGGCTTCAGTCACTTCCCAAAACCCTAACGTAACTTCCCTCTGCCATTTCTATAAATACTTTCATGATAATTGTTCTTTATGAATGTTAGCCAAGTAATAGATTGACTGCAAGGTATCATCATTTTACATGGCTAGATGCAACCGTAAGTTCTATGCTAACAGTTTCTTCTATCATTCTTTTTGCTTGTGGAACTCTCTTCCATCTTCTTGCTCAACTTCCATCTTCAAAAATTGAAATGCAATTTCAAGCGTCTTCTTAATTCCTGTTTTTTTTTATTGTTCTCTCTCTTGTGTTCTTTTTTCTTATATTCCTTAAAACTCAGTAACCATTTGCGTCTTAGTGGCTTTTTGAGCTGACTTAGGTAGATAGATAGATAGATAGATAGATAGATAGAGAGAGAGAGAGAGAGAGAAAGTATATGAAATTTAAACGCGTAAACAGAAACACATTTGCAATAAAGATGACATTCGTTCCTAGTTATGTGAGCTACAAGTTTCATTTCAATATAAGAATGAAGAGGTATATTTAGCTGCAAACAAGTTTAATCTCAATAACTGTATATATTCTAAGCTTAGTTTAACAGTGACAGTATCTGGTTAAACGCTAGAAGTAAATCGATAGGCTTTCTTTGCCAAAAGATGTTTTTGCTCGGTTCAATAGAATCCATTTTTGAATATCTGTTATTCTGTTTTAAGTCCCGATATTAATCAAAAGAAAAAATAGAAAGAAGAATACAAAGAAGCAAAAAGTGATCTAAAAGTTAATAGAAAGATAATGAAAAATGAAAGGAGAAAGCAGGAAAAAGAACAAAGCAAATGAAGCGAAAAGTTATTTAAAAGGGAAGAAAATGAAAAGGATTTCATTGTCCGTCTTTTTCTATGCCATTCGTTATAAAAGTTTTATTGATTACCTAATAAAAAGAAAGTCTTTATTTCAAGGGTTAATATTTTCGCATTATGCAGTAAATCTAATTCTTGAATAATCTGCAGCATATATATGACATAATACATAACACAAAGCAAACGTATAATTTATTTTGCAATTCAAAAATTTGTTTGTCTATCAAACATTATTCTATTCATTGCAAAGTTAGGTACGTCAATTTTTTTTCCAGAATTGCACCTTCTTTATTTCTTACAGCTAATCAGATGGTAAAATGAAGACAGAGATAAACGAATATTCATGGATATGGTTACGCAGGGAGCACATAAAAAGAGAAACAGAATCTCTTATCATTCCAGCCAGAACAAAAGAAAATAATTATATCAAAGCAAAAGTTAACGAAATAAAGAAAAAAAAACAAAAAAACAAAAACAAAAAAAAACAACCACCTCACCTTTTTAAAGAAAAAGATGTCACTGAAGTGAATTCACTGAGGTAGCCTAAAAACAGTATAAGAACAGGCACGACAGAGTAGGAATTGATATGCTTTGAGAACTGTGCAAAAGAACAGGTAAAGAAAAATTCTGTTAGCAGAAACGTAAAAAATCCAAAGAAATAGATACTCTTGACATTCGAGATTCAGATCGATTACATTTTCAAACAAGATAAGTGGAATCTGGAACCGTTCCAAAAAGTTTGGAATCGGGATTAGAGAAATTAGAGATTCGTAAATGAAATGAAATTGTCCAGACCATGGCAATGCTTGTGTATGCGAGGATACTGAAGACGGTGATAGAATTTTAAGATTTTTGTTGATATTCTCTCTTCAGTGATAAATCAACAAACATCTGTTATGAACATACAAATGTATAAAATATAATAATAATAATAATAATAATAATAATAATAATAATAGACAGGGAAATGAGCGGAGCATGGATGAGGCTTTGTTAGCACTGCGAATTGTGTCGACGAAAATACTAGGGATTTGAGGAAATTACATCCTCACCAATGGTTATCAGAGACGCCTGGTTTAAATAAGTAAATTATACCAAAACGATGTGAATTTAATAAAAAATATTTGCTTTAATGAAATTCGATAAGCAGTTATGTAAACATTAATCGTGTATCTGCGATTTCGCGATGAAACATTCATTAATATTTTTAACATTATCAGAAAACATAAACCATCTCATTTACAGTTTCAAATTATGACTTACTTATATTAATATTGGGTTAAAACAAAAGTGCATAGCGTTTTTCAATAGGTGGCATTTGAACGCAGGATTTTATTTCTCATATGACTGAAATTTATTATATTCTGAAAAGTGGTATTTCTACGCATCTTTCTATAATTTTTATGATGTGAAAGCCGTGAAGAAAGGACATAAATATAACGAAATATTCGTTGTTGGAAATTCACAATTGATAGGAAGTTGAAGCATAGATACCTAAAAGGATCTACGAAAGATCCTTTAAGAGAGTGAAAAACAAATTCTTTAAATATTCGTCTCGCAGCTTCAAATAGTAGGGAAAACATGTTTGTTTGTATAAATCTGTAAGTAAAATAGATTAGGAAATTGTTAACGTTATCCATTTACTCCAATATTATTTTTTCATTCATTCATTTACAGTTAGTGAGTTTTCTATCAGCGATTCTTATTATTAGCATTTCGTACATGTTTTAATCACTTTGCAATGTATCCTATAAAAATAGAACAGTTTTGTTTTTCTGTATTTAACTGCATTTTGTTTTAGTTAGAACACATCACCAGTAAAAAGGACATTCTTGCGGAAAAAGATTATTATTGATACTGCATATAGAATCTAAAACAATAGACCTTTATAAGCACTAAATAAAAGAATCAAAATATTTTTCATTTATTTTTTCCGGTTAGGACACGACAATTTCGGCACAGTGCCATTAGTCGTCTGACACTTTCAGAATATGGCTGAAAAATTATCGGCTTATTATACCTTTTCAAATAAAATTTTGATTTTTGATCAGATTTGTGGAAATATTTTTAAGTAGCCTTCATATTTAACCCCAACATCAGTTGTTCTCAAATCAGTTTTTTCCTTGTAGTGATTAATATTTCAAAGTTAGTAACATTATGATCATAGAACCCTTGACTTTTCACTCAGTATTTTAGTGCTCTGTCGATTAAGCTAAACCTGCAAACAATTTTGACCAATGATTACATCTGTTTAAACACGAAAATGTACTGAAGCTGTGTTTTAAGTAAAAGTGATGATGCCGATTAACTGTTATTAAAATTTACATTTAGAATTTTGAAACTTTCGTTGAAAATGAAAATCGAAAATTCATTCTACAAAATTGATGTCAGTCGATCAAATCTATATTAAAAAGAATTGATTCTCTGTCCGTCACAGATTGTCTGCGTGTAACTTAGCATGCGCGTATGTTATATATATATATATATATGTATGTCTGCGTTTCTTTTTCTTTAATCACTTCACCCCACAGCAAGGTAATAAAGTCACTAAGACGCAAAGGGTGACAGGATGCGAAATAATACAGAAAAGAAAAAAACATTTTCTTTAATAATGTTTTTCTTTTTTCTCATATTCTTAACCAATTCTGATGATATATATAAAAAAGGACAAGTCCACTTCTGTATTGTTTCTGAAAAAGTTAAATGATATTTCCTTACTAATGAAAGAAAAAAAAAACCACCCCGCACTGTCATTTTAAGTATTATTTTCTCATAAGTAAAATTCTTGTGTATATATTTGCTTCGCCAACATACGTATAGAGATATTTTTATTAAATTAAGTGTTGTTTTCTTGCAGGCTATAATTTAATTAGGTTTTTTTTTAAAGTAACTATGTTATTTTGTTTGAGGTATCCCAAATTAACGGTTAGAATACTTTGTTACGTAAACACGGATAAAAAGAGAAAGAGAGAGTGAGAAAGAAAAGAGAGAAAAATAATTCAGAGTTTGTTTTCCTTTAAGTCTACATACATACATACATATATATATATACATACATCGCAAATACGCAGACTTTGGACTTAGTGTCCTGATTTTGTTATCGGGGGAAAAACAACTTTACATTTGATGAAAGTTTAACAGATATTTTACACCGAGTTATTTGAGATTACCAAAAGTTGTATAGCCTGAAATTGTGTATTGATTGAGTAGACATGAGTTTAAATTTCTACGTTGCTACGTAGATAATCTGGCAACTACCACCAAAGTGGTTATTCAAGATTTGGAAATAATAGCAAATCATGTTTTTGGTTAGATATATCTTTAAAAGCCATACTTCCTAAGTAAAACGCGAGCATAGTTAAATATGTGTGCGCATGCGCGTCTACCGAATGACACTCAAACATCAGATATGTTATTTACTAAGTTTAATTTTAGCTTAAGATCAAAAATATGCGAATCGAACTCATAACGAATAATGGTCAATCGGATTAGCTTTTATAACCAATACTCCAGGTCGAGGTTCTCAACGCCAATTCAGTGTTCATCTGCTAATATAAGCCTAGTCAAATTTGAGTTTAATTACGAATTGTGTCATTTAAGAAATACAAAACTTACGAACATTGAGCATTATTGATTGATTTCACTCGAATGTAGGAACCGATGACGAACCTCCAAGGTGCTACATTCAGCGGACAACGACGTCATAAATAACTACATTTAAAGTTGTAAATTCAAAATCCAAATCTCAAATACAAATAGACAATCACCGATTTAAATGATTTATTTAATTTCCACAGGGCTCGATCCTTGAATCTACTTTGTTTCTAATTTTCATCAACGACCAATGTTATCAGTTTTCGAATCGGTATCTATACTAACGACACAACCATTTACTCTTAATGGTAAGTTGTATAAGTTCGATATGACTGAATTGGCTTCTGATCTAAAATAAATGACCATCAATCTGTTGTTACTTGGGGTAAGAAATAGCGCCTTCGAAACGAAACTGCTCTTTTTTTAATAATCGTGGAGAAATTTTTTTTGGCATTTCATCTCATGGAAAGAGACTCATTTCGCTATCTTTGACTAACTTTTTCCACTATGTCCTGTGTTCATTTAATCAAGTGATTATCTTCAAGGCTTGAATTTACAACTCTAAATACAACTTATTTCTGACGTTGTTGTCCGTCGAACATTGTACTTTGCAAACTCGTCAGCAATTACTACATTCAATTAATTTAAGGATTTTACATTCGAATTATGAAAAATGTGTGTATAAGTACAAACGTACACATAAGTACACGCATATACACAATGAGTTTGACAGAGTTTAAAATAAGACACTGGAATAGTACATGCACCCCTAATCAGTTTAGACGTCTACTCAAGACTGAATAATAAATCTTTTAAAAGTGATATTGTTCTTAAATAAACACCGTATTTACTAATCATAAATGGAAAAGCTTACTACAAATCAGCGACCCCATTATTTTAAAAAAAGAATTTTGATTGTTGCCTCTGTGTGTGTGTGTGTATGTGTGTGTGTGTGTGTGTGTGTGTGTGTGTGTGTGTGTGTGTCTGTATAAAAGTGTAGGAAGTTCAGACGTCCAGGGTTTTCTTATAAATAAAAAATCCGAACGTCCGAATTCCAAACAATAAT